CAATGCTGAGAATTTCTTCAGAAGAACTGGGCCGATAATCGGTGTGTTGATTTATTCTTGACTAAACTGTTGTAAGAAATAATAAAGACACCAAGTGAACTGAGATTGAAGGTAAGTATTGTGGAAACTTTATTTTCACAAAGAATCTGCGCGGTAGAAAAAGAATTGTAAATCATAACAAAAGATGAAAATAAGGAGCAATTTGTCGTGACAATAAAATGATCTTCATTAATGCAACTTCGAGAGAAACTGAGTATTAATAGACAATTAGATTTAAATTTTTTGATTTAAAACTTATTTGCTGAATTTACGATAAATAAATTCTCAACATTATTTTCTTGTTTTAAAATTTCTTCACTTGAATAAAGTCAAGTTATAAGACATGTTTTATGATTTATTTCAATAGGGTAAGTGTGGGTATTACTGCAGATTTTTTTATTTCAATTATAAATAAATGGTACTTGAGCTTTTTAGATTAAAAAAAATTGTTCCTAATAATTGAAATCTTCAAGAAAATATTTGTTCAGTAGTTTTACATGTACAACAATTATTCAATTTGTTATTAACAAATTAAAATTAACTGGCTATGCAGGTAGTAAACTATAGCTTTTTTGTGAGTTTCTATACGAAAAGAGGTGATACTAAAAGATCTTTTTCTTTAGATAAAATGGTTCAAATTTAATATTTTTCGCATATAAAAGAAAGATAACCCTTCTTTAATATCAGTCATGTATTAAAAATTGAATTTTGATCAATTAATATTGTTTATTTAAGGACGCAGTAATAAGTACCAATAAACTGAACATGTTTGTCTTACTGCGAATGTTTTCAATAATCCGCAGTAATAGAAGCACCTCTATTTGCATGCATTTGTACCAATTACTGCGGGTGTAAAATGCATATATTCTAACCTAAAAAGAAAATATTGCCTGTCAATTGACAGCTTAAGTTGCCTTTAAATTGCTCTTAGTTGAGAATAAATAATCTTTAAAAAAATTATAACCAGAAAATTGATAAAAAATAAAACAAATAAATCAAAGTTGATGAAAAATACAAGCGATAATTATAATAAAGAATTTGTTGTGTTAAATTAAGCAAAAAAACTTTCAAATCAAGAAATTTCCATCAAATTAAGTGAATGTAACTTTATTCAAAAATTTTTCTGATTGATATAAAAAAATTCAAAATGATTTTTTTCAATCAAGATTTGTGTTTCTTCGATCAAGTTAATTTTTTTAATTACTATAAAGACCCTGCTTGTTATGTTATACATCACTATTCCGGTCATTATTATTAATTTAGACACACTGCGTTAAATTATCATATTTATTGATATGAATTCCAATGATTTCAGAAATACGTTTTTCTAATCAAGTCATTTTATTAAACAAATAATTATCTTTCAAACGTATTTTATTAATTTCTTATATGATCCCGCAGTTGTTTATCATTGAATTTCATCCGCAGTAATAGACACGCAATAATAGGGGCATCCGCAGTAATTGGCACACAGTAATAGAGACAAGCTCCTTTTATACCTGCAGTAATACATGCATATGAACTTTTTTTTTTAATGCTTATTATTTAAAGAAAATATTAGTTTATCGCACTCTCGATTTTTTTTGAGTCAATAATGAGTCAAACTTTAATTTAAAAAAAAACAACTATTGTTATTTTTGAGAAATTTAATAAAAATGCCTTTGAAGTAAGGCCTACAGAAAAAACCGCAGTAATACCCGCACTTACCCTATACCATGATCAGACCAAAATTTGGTGATTCAGTTAAAATATTAGAGCTGTAGGAAATCCTAAGACCTTTTAAATTTGACAAGACAAATCGAATTTTAAACTCTTAGAAAATTTTAAAGAATTCTGGTAAAGAAAATTGAACAAAAAAAATTCTAAATCGGTCATTTCTTTCACGAAAAAACCGTGTGATAAAATTTAGTACAAACGAGTATCCATCTACTAAATGGACTGTAGTAACATATAGGACAGTACCATGTATATACAAAAAATGTGATGCCATTTAATACACTCGCTAGTAAAATGACTACATGATAAATTACACATGGAGAGAAAAAATTGAGCTTCTACTATTTTTGATGGGAGTTATTTTGTCATAGCACCGTAAACAATCGATATACTGATGTACTAACAGTTAAAATACGTGTAGTTGGAATAATTTTTATTACTTTTCACCATTTTTGAAAACTTTTAGACATTACTGATTAATGAAGTCTTAATTTTTGTGAATAATTCTTTTAATGAAGAATATTTTGGCGGTAATAAACAAAAAAGTTTAAAAATTTTTTTTGTATATGCTCAGAAAAGAAATATTTAAAAAAAGCAATTTTCGTAAAAATGAATTCATAAATTTCTATTTAACTTAGCATTTGAATAATTTCTACTAAGAAGCAAATAATTAACTAAGTAAGTAGAAAAGAAATACAAATTTTAAGACGATAAGCCGCTATTTGTTAAAATATTTAGCAATGAATACAAATATAAATCATGCAATCATAGCAACCATCCAGATACCAGAGAGACAGAGGCATAGTTTAATCTTATCATATTATAAATAATATTTTATTTAAATTGTACCAATAAAATTATTATTATTATTGTTACCGTAAAAAAATTTATTCCCTTATCCATAAAAGTTTAAATTGGAATTTCAATCAAGGTACTCCGACTTTTTTTATTGTTAATCTCATAAAGATTATAATGCATGAATGAAAAAGTGGAGCACTCGATATTAAAAAAGATAAAAATTAACGAGCAGAAGACCGGAAATTCTCGTACTAATATTACATTTAATATCGGTATATCGGAAATTTAACCGTGAAATAACTTAAACTCAATTGAAGCCACATTTGATTGAGTCAAAAGCGATCAATTTTTAACACAAGTTTAGTTTCAAATTTAGTAATCGGATTACCTTTTCATGAAGTAATAATTACAGTAGATTAAGTCAATGAAAAGGAATATGTTATGAAATGAACATTATAACATTTACATTAATTTTAAATTTATTTACTAAACGATAAAAGACGCCTTCTGCCCTCTTTGCTTTTGTCTACGTTGCAACATAAATATAATTCAAAAAAGAAATAAAATTTTGAACATGGCAATTATCTTTTGCCGAAAATGCAAAGTACTTTTGTAAGTTTCTTTTTTGTTAATAAGCTAATATGAAGCTCTGATGCCAGTATTAAGACATTATAAAAAAAAAAAATATACACTGATATTAAACTATTTTGATTCAAGAAAAATAGTCCTTCCAAGAAACTGATTTTAAAGACATGCAACCAGTTATTGCACTTTAAGAATTTTTTGTCTTGAATCTCGTAATCTTGGCTCAAGAGACCAATATCTTCTGTCGATAACTTTTCTCATTTGATTCAAGAGTATATGTTATCTTCTATTGATACAGTTAAATTCATTGTCAAGAGAGAACTTTTAAAAACTAAAAATAATTTAATTTTTTTTCTGACAACTTTATAATTTTTATTCAAAAATTAGCTTTTTTTATTAAAAATATCCAAAAAATCTTTTAAAAAACGAAATTTTCACTTCAAAATATTCTGAAAAGTCTTAAAGACTTTTTGAAGAAGTAGCAGATATCTGAAAATTTTTAGTTCCAACGGCATTTTTGAAACAAGTCGGTAATATCTTATATCAACGTTACCGCACATCTTAATCAACGAGAAAAAAAAATTTTTGGATGAAGTATGTATATGGTTCATTCCATGCCAAATCGACAAATTTTTTATCCGACCCCCTTTGATTTCGCTCAACGTTTTGTATCTTTTTCTACCCCCCAAAAGACATTTTTAGAAATTATTTCAGATATTTTTACTCAACCCAAAAAAAGTTACGAATTTTTGAAAGAAAATCGTTCTTTTTTTTTTAATCACTAGAACTTTCAAAAATTGACCAATTGGGACTAAACACACTCAAAAATTTTTGTTCATTAATGTAGTTTTTAGAAAAGAATACGAAAAAAATTTCAGAAGTCCGAATCTATGAAATGTTTCGGTTTTTTTTTTTTTTTTTTCAAAATAACCGTTATTTTCTCGAAATCTGACCACTTTTATTTATTTTTTTTTATTCAAAAAAAATTTCAACTAATTCTACAAAAATCCGCGCTAGTTTCGAGATGTTCCGACAATCGCTTCTAATTTTTTTTTTTAATAAAAAAAAAAGTTTTTTTTCAAATTTGGCTTATTTTATGTGACTTTATTATGAAATTTTATTGGCTTCCTCGCGAAACTTCAGAAGTTGAAAAATAAAATTTCGTCCGAAAAATTGTTTTTTTTTTTTTTTTTTTTTTTTTTATTCAAAAAAGTAAGGAAAAGTAATTTTACTCATTTTATGACCGTTTTCTTCTCTCGTTCCGAAAAATGGCAACTTTCAAAATGAAGTAGGCTTAGAAATTACCCTTAGCTGATAAAACATCACTTAAAAGAAAGGCATCGCGAGTAAGTTTGCAGTATTTATCTTGAAAGCTGTGTTGATAAAATAAAACTATTCTGCAGAATTTTTTACTCATTCAAAAGTTATAATTTATTGATACGCGAGTTAACTTTTTGAATGAAAAAAAACTAAATATCTCGAAACAAGATAAGATTGTGACAAACATATTTTTTTTGAATCAATTAGCTTATTTCAGTGTATAAATATAAATGATCAACAATCAAAAATCACATTATAGATTGAACATTATTCAACAAGAACGTAAATTCGAGCTTCACAATAATAGCATTATTCCAATGACGTTACAAATGTATTGATGGGGTTTCGCTCAACACTCGCTTCTGGTGGTTTCAGTTTGTATATTGCTGGGTATAATGATGAACGCTGGTCAGATTGGTTTCACTAGATTGTGTTATTTAATTAAGGATAGTCCAGTTAGATTTGATTGATCATGATAATAAATATCAGAACCAGATGCGGGTGTATAATAACAATGAACGAAACCCCAGATATTTAACTCACGAATAGAGAGCAGAGAGGTTCATCGTCCGATATCGTACCGTGTCGCCTACCTTCTTCTCCCATTGGAGAACATAGGGCACTGGATGCTCACCGGGGAACTCAACATGACAATTGAAGACTACGCTTTCACCCAAAATAGCTGTTATGTGCACCGCATCCTGATGACAGAGACCTGAAAATTTCACGTGTTTTTAGTCTTCATGAAACAAGTGTAACAATCACAATTTGTGTTCATCATTTATTTTTTTGTTTTTTTTTTTTTTCAATTAATTTTTTTATCTACTAGATTGGTAGTTAACCCTCGGAGTACACTGGGGGTCATTTTGACCCCAGAATTTTTTTTATCCTAAAATATTTCTCGAAAACAGGTTTATTTTTAGTTAATTTTTTCAACATTAAAAACTATTCAATTTAGAATAGTAATTATTGTATTCAAAAGAGCATTGTTTTACCTACCAAAAATGTAATAACCTGGATTCCGATAAAATGCATACACAGATAAAAAAATGTTCTTGAATCAAGTATATAATTCTGAATAACTTCATCTTCTTGATTTGAGTAAAAAAATTCTTAAACTGAGAAATCTTTACTTGGTTTAGATAAATTTTACGTGATTCAAGAATTTTTCGTCTTGATTCTAGAAAATTATCCTCTTCAAAATTATTTTCTTGGTTCAAGAATTTTCCTCTTGAATCAAGTTAATTTTTTTTTCAGTGTAGTTTCTGAGATATAATTCTTCGAAAGTCAAGTGGAATCAAAATTTGATCCCGTGTGTACTTTAAAGTTCTGTTCGGAGGTGTGTACTTCAAGGGTTAAGTGTGATGAAAATGAGATCGAGAAAATTTAACAAATTTTTCAAAACATGCTTCAAATTTTGTAATTCAAGTTCAAGAAATCGCCAAGAAATATTTTGATCATAAATACTACACGGAAAAAAAATTATTGCTACTGGAGCCATCTACTAGAGAGCTACTCGTAGAGCGCTACGACAGCAAAACGTTACAGTAGCAGTACTGTATAGCTCTGGTAGGAATACTTTAGTTAGCGAGAATCGCTAACTACATTTTTCAACGGCGCCGTCTAACATAACCACATACACACGTACCAATATCTATTAACTGAATAACAATATTTATAAATAATGATTTCAATACACAATAATATTTATAAATAATAATTTCAAAAATTATATTTATTAATTGATGAATTTGAAATTATTTATTTAATTTTGGTCGAATAAAAAAATTAAATTAAATGACATAAAAAAGGTCAATAAAAAATTTTGAAAATAATCATAATAAATTATAATTTAAATAAAAACATGGTTCCATATTATTTATCACTAATAAATATAAACGAAAATTAATTTAGCAGATATTTAATAATTTCTAGAATTTTTTTAACAAATAAATTATGGTAAAAAAAATGAAAAAAAAAATTGGCATGTAGAAATTTAAAAAAATCATAAATGCAATTTTGTAAAAATAATTTTTCAGAAAAAATTTATTTGTTAAATAAAATTAAGAAATTATCAAGTGACTGTTAACTTTAACGTCATTAAATAAAATTATAATCAGAAGTTTGAAAATTTAAAAAAAATAATAAATAAATATGTATATGAAAATAACAATTAAAAAAAATGTCTCAAAATTAGAAAAAAAACTTTCAGTATAAGTTTTTTATTTTAACTAAGTTTAAATTTGTTTAAAAATAAAAAAAAAAACATAAGCTATCCACTAATTTAATAGTTATCCATTACTATAAAATTAATTTACTACTCGATATAATAAATAAATTTGCATCAATCCATAAATAATACTTCATTTGGTAGTCATCAGTGAATTCACGATAAACAAAACAAATATTTTTGAGGTTATGAAATATATCAACACATAAGACTGTGCGCGAAATCTGAGACTACATCAGCGAGGCGTTTACTGCTCTCAGCAATCCCGTTTGGCTCTCCCAGCAATACGGTTTAGCTTTTTTAGCTAACTACTGTATACCTGCCAGAGTGATCTACTAGATGGCTCTAGTAACTCTCTAACAGTTGGTTGAGTGGAGATAGCTACTATAGCATTACAATATAGCTCTGAGAGCGATATTTTTTTTTCCGTGTAATTTCTTTAATGGGACATTCAAATTATAGTAATAGTTATTAATTTTATTTTACATAAAAGATAGAAAATTTTTTAATTTAATAATTCGCAATCCTAAATCAACGAATCACTAACCTAAGATAATATTTAGCTATTCAGATCTTTGTGTTGACAAAACAGTCGTCTCTACTAAGAAAATTGCATATGGGGCATTCCACGCCAAATCGACCACTTTTGACCCTGACCCCTTTTGATTTGGCTGAAAGTTTACCATCCTTTTCTACCCTATCAAAAACGTCTCTCATAATTTTTTCAAATTTTTTTACCCAACCAAAAAAAAGTTCCGAATTTTTCAAAAAAACCGCTTTTTTATTTTTAAATTGCCATAACTTTTTCAAAAATTGGCTTATCGGGACGTTTTTTTTTTTTTTGATTGTCTGTGATTTTGCAGAGAATTACGCTTTTGTGATACAAAATGCTGCATCCGGTTTCCACTGGAACAATAACATGGCTACAGTTTTTCCAGTAGTAATTTATTTCAAAAATAACAATGAGATATGCCACAGAAGCTTAGTCATTGTATCAGATTGCAATAATCATGATGCTGTGGCAGTTAACGTTTTTTTGAAAATAGTAACAAGTTATGTAAAAACTATTTCGGAAAATGTGAGAAAAATTTATTACCTTTCCGACGGTGCACCTCAACAGTTTAAAAATATCAAAAATTTTGTCAACTTGTATTGTCACGAAGAGGATTTTGAAATTTTAGCTGAATGGCACTTTTTTGCTACTGCGCACGGAAAAGGGCCATGTGATGGAATTGGTGGAACATTTAAGAGAATGGCCGCACGTGCCAGTCTCCAATTGCCTGTGGATCGCCAAATAACAACTCCATTTGAACTTTTCACATGGGCAACTCAGCCAAATAACTTGCCAAATATTACGATTAAATTTTCACCCTCAGATGATTATACTGTTGCAAATGAAAATTTGGCGACTCGATTTGCAAAAACAAAATCCATCGTAGGAACTCAAAAAGTTCATTGTGTTATACCTGACAATAATGGTTGTCTCTTAGTTAAAGATTATTCAAGCTCTACAGAATCTAAACTGTGTAAAATATTAAAACGTTCAAGAAAATAAATTTCTTTATGAGTTTAAAAATTATTGCATTTGAGACATTATAATCATATATTAATTAATGTTTATTTCAATGCCTACCATTTATTAAGCAATAAATAAAAAAACAATTATTTTTCAATTTTCCTTGTTTTTAAAAAAAATTATTTTTCTCGATGATTAACATGTTCAACTTTTGGTTCTATACCAATCGTATTGGAAATACGACAAAAGAAAAAAATTTTTTTTTTTTAATTGAAAAGAACAAATAGAAATCGGAAAAACACCTTTCTGGAAATTTCATGATATCTGTAAAGAATGTCAAAGTTTAGAATGAGAAAAAGAAAAGAGAAACTAAAAATGGTATTCATCAAAAAATTCGGAGTTTTTTCTGAAAATTTTAAAAAAGAACATTTAATAACAAAAATTTTGAAAAAAAAAACGTCCCGATAAGCCAATTTTTGAAAAAGTTATGGCAATTTAAAAATAAAAAAGCGGTTTTTTTGAAAAATTCGGAACTTTTTTTTGGTTGGGTAAAAAAATTTGAAAAAATTATGAGAGACGTTTTTGATAGGGTAGAAAAGAATGGTAAACTTTTAGCCAAATCAAAAGGGGTCAGGGTCAAAAATGGTCGATTTGGCGTGGAATGCCCCATATGTTTACAAGAGCTATTCGCTGTATAATAAAGCTGAACAAATAAATCCTTAAATAAAATAACTGAATCGTTATTTTGACAAAACGTCGTTTGAGGATAATAAGTTGGATCGTTAAATAGTAGTTTTTAGGAGAAATTAATTTTCAATTAAAGAACGCTATTTTTACATAAACTGTATATTGGAGGGATATAAATGTTATTTGATGATAGATATTTGGTCATTATAGAAAAATTTACTATGATTTACGATAAAAAAAAAAAAAAAAAAAAAAAAAAAAAAAAAAATAGATTTTGACTAATAAATAAGATACGAAGGTTAACAATAACTAGACTTTGTAATGCGAGTGTGTAACTGACTTTAGGCATAATTAACACTCAAAATAATAGAATTCTCATAAGATTAACGTTTAAATAAAATAAATATATTTTTTTTGTTCTAATGTAGTGAGTACAAACATGCAATATGTTGCAAGTCTTGAGTTTCTCACGTATTTTTAAAAATTTATGCAAGAATGACAGGAAGAGCAGAAATATATTCAGTAGGGGAACGAAGAATAGTGAGAATAGATAAAGAAAATTGCTGTTATAATTCGACAAATTCTCACACTCTAAGAATATTCAATTATCACAATCACAAGGTAATTAAATAATAACACAACAAAAAGATGAACAGTTATAGGCAAGTGATAAAGAGATGAAGGAATATTTCCGAGGAAGAAGGGTTGAGTCGAAGAAAAATTTTATGATTTTCTAACAAAGTTACGAGTTGTGATCAATAGCGTTAGTAATCTAAGACTCATGTGAGTAATTATTAGTTGCAAGTTACAAATTATAAATTACCTGGTGTGATGAGTAAAACAACCCCAAGTAGAAACGTTCCAACGAGCATATCCGTGAATTGTCGGAAGCCTCTGCACCTTCGTAACCTTCTTCTCTCCATCCTCTCGTTCTCTTGATCCACATTCTCAACTACACTTGCCTCACTACTAAGTCTGTTAAATGAGGCTTTCAGACTCTCTTGTCGATGGCTTTGCTGCTTCAGACTCACAAACTTGTCCTGAATAAGATACGGCCACGCAATGCTGTCATGCACCGTCGATTGACGCTTGCTGCGTGTTTTGCCGATCCCAAGACAGGTGGGCTGTCCGGAAGTGAAGCCTGCTGTTGTCCAGGGAATCGATCTGAAATTAAAAAATTTTTTTATTATGATATGTCCTATCAATTTCATAATACTTGTGGGGCTTTGTTAACACTTCATTAGTTACAATAATAATTTTATTGAATTATTACTTGGATCAAGTATTTTATTTTCTTACGAACCAAGAAAAAATTTTCTTTACTGGTAAAAGAATCTCTTAATTCAAGAATATTAGAAATTTGATTTTAGTAATTAGGATTTTTAACATTAAACGAATTCACTATTTCAGTTTGAAAATTTTGTCAATTTAAAAAGAGATTAAAACTTTAATCAGATAACCTCCTCTATGAAAAAAAATATATCAAACACATATGGTGCAGATATTTATTCCAGAATATATCCAAGTTGGCAAATCTATGTATATATGTGTCATATATGCTTCACATATAATTTTAGTTCCAAAAGCTTTCAATAGGTGGCGCCGACTTGCAAAATTTTCTCGCTACTGAAGAGTTGCCTCAGAAGTTATAGGTTCTAATTAAGGATAAATTAATCGATCTATAGTTTCAGAGTTTTATGTGCTTCATATATTTTGCACATATATAAATCATATATGAAACATATCGACGTTCTAATTAGCAAATTGTCCAACTCCATTTTAAAGAATCTTCCATTTGTATGAAAATACAATTAGTTCGAAATTTATTATCACTTTAAAAAAACCATTTAATCTTTAATAGAAGTATAATATTTTGGTTAGGATCATTCAAATAATTTATAATTGGACTATTACTACATCAAAATGTTAAAAAATCACCCTCTTAAAAACAAGGAGACCACTTGCTAATTAGATCGTCGATTTATATATAAATTTTCTCATTCCGACATATCCTGCAATATATTGTGGGAATCATTTTCAAGTTTCATTTTATTTAGACATTTTCATATTATTAAAAGTAAGTGGCAATAAGATTTCTAAATTTCTTGCCTCAAATCGACGTCTTAAATGTTCCAAGATGTATTGTGAAAATAGATACAAGGGGAAGAAGTATTAAACTAAACTATCGAATGTTAGTTAAATACTCGACATTTATCGCTCTGCATAGGAAAACTTTGGATTACTTCTCGACAACTATCTACTAAAGTGGAAACTATTTATTGGTGATAAAATTTGTTTCACTAAAATGAAGAAAATATGAAATAAAATAGAGAACAAGAATAATTTAAGATTAACTATTACCATCAGTTTACTTCAAATAAATCTTCTAATAAAATTTTTCTTGTATCTGAAGAAATAGTTTCTTGATTAGAGCTAAAATTTCAATAAATTAGAAAATGTTTTAGGGAAAACTTCAAAATTTCGCCGTTTTTTAATGTTTTATAGCCATTGTTTAAAAAGAGTCAACTTTTGGAAGGCAGTTTTTTTTTTGTCATTCAAAATATCATCTCTCACCAGATTTCATGTTTACTTAATAGTTATAGCAATTAGTTCCAATCTTAATGCTAATCCTTTATCTAGTCTATTAGTAAAAATCACTTTTTTCCGGTATAGAAGACATAATTTGCTATAGCATCAAAAGAATTTTCAATTGACATAATCCTAATCGTTTACTGTCATTAAAATCTCAAAATTACAATAAAAACTAGACTTTGAATTGATCAAAGTTGACATGCTTCAGTTATCCGATCACTGCATACTACATACTACACAGTAAATAGAAGCACATGATAATTTATGCTATCCGCCTTCGATGATTACCAAGCTAATGCAATAAAGTTTACTACAGTGTTTCGGTTCCGCTAGAACTAGTAGGAGTAGTTAGTTTAAGGCTGAATACGTCAACATTAGCTTTATTGATGAATCCGTTGATGTACTAGGGACGACACTGTCATATATTATAGACTTAACGGCATCTTACACATGTAACATAAGTTTCGGTAGTTGGTTTAAAAACTTATCGATCATGAATCATGATTAAAGTTGTGACACTTTGTACACGGATCAAAAGTTTGGAATCAAAATTTCATTTCTCAAATCAAAACTAATGAACACTAGAGATAAATTATATGAAAATCAAATTATCTAACAATATAAATAATTTCAAATCAAATTATTGAACTAATTATAACTATCGATAAATCCGAATAATTGTTTCTAATTTATTATTGTAAATGAATTTATCACTCGAATTCAGTTTATTCATCAATAATTATTAACCAATATTGACCGAACGATAAATTTGTTATTCCTCGGTTGTTTTCAATCTGGTTTTATTGAAATTAGTTTCATTAAGGTCAAATGTGTTTTTGTAATAAAGCTTGTCAAAATACTAACACCATAATTATTTTTAAAACATTCAACTAGCTTATTTTGTTAGTTGTAATTGTTATTGATAATTATGGAGCTGCAGAACTTTTTGCGAAACCACACTTAGTGATATTTATGTTTTATTTTGTATTTTTTTATCAATCATAATTTCAGTGGGTAACATATGACTGCGGTAAAACGCGCTAGCAAAAGACTAATCGTGTTCTTCACCTGCGTTACTCAAGCAACCAACTTCTCACCCATTTCAGTTGGCTGGCGGTATGTGTACGTTATAACTTTTTGTGCGACATATGTTACAAATGCGCCAGCTATCTTTCAAACAAATACGAGGAAATATTATTTACGGACAATTTAAACGTTTCATTTGCTGTGTAATACAAACTTTCATGAATAGCAAAAAGTTAAATCTTTAACGCCACAATTGATGAAAAAAATGGTGTTTTTTTGTGTAATTATAACCATATCTCTTAAATGTTTACTTTGAATAAACTCGAAGATGAACAAAATCGGTGTATTATATCAAGAATGCTAGCTATTTAACATTATCAATTAATGAAAAAATATTCTGATCAGACTTGATATGTCCTGATATGGCCATATCAAAATTTTTGATATAATCGTATCAGGCCTGATATGATCTGATATGTCCATGTATAATTTTTGATAGGTCCTGATATAACCTGATATGACCTGATATGCAAATTGGCCATATCAGGCCTGATAAAGCTTGATCAGACTTGATATGGCTTGATCTGGTTTGATATAATTTGATCTGGGCTGATATAATTTGATATATCTATAGATAATTTATTGATATATTCTGATATGGCTTGATATAATTTGATATGCCCGTTTTCTAATTTTTTGATATGTTCTGATACAATTTTATCAAGCCGGATCTGACTTAATAGTATCAAATAAAGCCAAATCTGAGTGATAATTTTGTTATACAGTCACTAGTTTTTTTAAGGGGGTATTCTGGTCTAGAAATTTAAAAAATTCGAATTTTTTTTTTTTTGCATATTTCCAAATTTTAGACCCTTAAAAATATGTCCTTAAGTGGATTTTTCAAAATTCGAATTATTTTCGGAGATACAGTGGATTTTGTGACGCAGCTGCTTCTGCTTCTGCTTCTTCAATAGAAGGCAGAACAGCTCGATTAGCAGAAAGAACTTCGTAAAACGTCGAGTAGGAAGTAGAAGAAGGCCCAATTTATGGATCTGGGATTCGCGATTAATCCAAAGTGAATATTAAATATTATTGTGAGTCATTTTACTGAAATTGTTTCTCAAACTTTAAACGCGATTTTCTCGAAACTACTTTTTTTAAAGTGGTTGACATGATATCTTAAGTTCTACCCCACCGATTCCTTTGAAATTTAGTGGGAATTTGCTTTATATATTTCTCTATCGCGTCTGCTACGGATTTCAAAAAATTTCAATTTGGAGTATTTTTAAAAAATTCGAAAAGGTCAAAAAAAGGGGTAAAAAAAATTGATGTTTTATGTCAAGTCTGATATGGCCAATTTTTATATCAGGCCTGATATGGGCGGTCCATATCAGGCCATATCAGGTCTGATCAGAATATTTTTTCACGGGAAAATTGCAAGCTACTTTTAATAAGTTTATTTAACTTGTTCGTAATGATTATTTTCAATAGTTCCATTAAAATGTGAAGTAATTTTATAAAAACCATTCTATAAAATCTATCTTCCATTATTTTTGTGCTTTTTGTAATAATTATCAGAGATAAAACTCAAATTTCCAACAAAAAATTAATTGAAACACTGGATACAAATAGATTTAAATAATAAAACAGCAACAATATTGATCTTTATAAGAATAGTGAAATCATAAAGCAATAAGATACATGCAACGGATGTCTCTTTTTCTGACAATTACTGTCAATAGCACAAGTATCGATCAAACATTCAACATACATTAGATTAGTTTCTCCTAGCTATTTATAAGTTCTGTAACATCGCTAAAAGTATTATCTTTTCTCCCATTGATTCTTATAATAATATGATTGTCATTGAAACAACAATTTCGAAAATGACAAAGTTTTTACGAGTTTCTAATTAGATAACGTAAATATATATAGTTGTCGCAGAGACGCAGGGACTCTTGACAATAGGTAGCTAATGAATTACGAAACATAGGACTACTTTTAATTAAATTACCTCTCGTCATCGAGAGAAGAAACTTCCGCTGAACACTCATTCTCTAAGGGCTGCAAAAATCTTCGTGAACTCTTAGTTCTTCTAGATGTCGTTTTATGGATAAGCCGCCGGTGGAGGTCCGTGGCCTGTAGCCCTCCTCCGCCCTCCATTCCCCAGCTCCCATAGTACCTTAAATACAGAAATTACTTTTTATTAAAATATGCTTTATAAAAAAAGTTGTGATTTATATTAACAAGAAAACAATTTGTCGCACAGTGAAAAAAACTACGCAGTAAAATAATATATTTTACATTATTTAAAAACAGTTTGTATTCAAAATTTTTATGTGCTTAATTAACATTTTTTTTGCACTACACGGAGAGAAATTTATAGGAATCTTTCCAACAATTATGGAAATGGATCCTATAATAAAATTATCATTATAGGCATTAATCCTATACTCATTATGGGAACCATACCCATAATTTATTGGAAACGTTCCTATACAATAATGGAATAGCTTCAATATATTATGGGAATGGTTTCTATAATATTGTAAGAATGGTTCCTATAATATTATAGGAATGGTTCCTATAATATTATGGGAATGACGCACATAATAATAGAAAAAAGTTTATTTTCTTAATAATGAAGCAATCAGTTCAAAAATATAAAGTAATTATTATGTATTTTTTTGCTAATAAATTTTTTTTTGTACACGGAAAGAAATACATTGCGGATATCCCTATGTCGCTGCAGAGCATTGCTATAATTCCTGAGTATAGGAGTATCTACTATACTGTATAGTACCAGAATTTTTGCGTCTATTACACGGGCGCATAGTAGGTTTGACGTGACAGCATTGCCGCCAGCCCCATACTGCATCGCACATCTCGCAATGCTACTAGTTTTTCCCGCGATGCTACTTGGCACGACAATCAATAACTCTATCGAATTATGGCCAATATTTTATGGGTACAGCTACTATATCGACATAAAAATTTATAAATTAGTAAAAAGAAAATAAACGTGTGTTAACAAGTGTAACAAGTATAAATATAGTAACAAGTATAAATATAACGCAATAAATAAACGTAATGAATATAATATATTGATTTGATTTTGTTGAAATAGTAAGTACTATCATTCAATCAAATACATCTCTAATAATTAATATAATAAAAAAATCATCAAAATAAGTAAACTAACCTAAATTTATGTGATATTTTTTCTAGATAAGAGGTGGTATTGTTTATTTTATTCAGATTTAAAATTTTGTAGTGACTCGAAAGGTAATCGCTGGGAATGGTAAAACTTACTGTAATATATCATAAGAATTGGAAATAAATAATTAGAAATTGCTGTATAATAATTAGAAATAAAAATAAATTAAAAACAATGTTTATTCTAATTTCATACGCCAAGTTTTTTATTTTTCTCTTTTTAATAGAAGGATTTTTTTATATTTAATAAGCTTAATTGACGGTTAATAAATGATTTTTTAACATCATACGATTTAATAAATATTTGTTAACAGGTAAAAAATATTTATTAACAGTTAATAAGTAATTTGTTTAGTACAATTTATTAACCGTTAATAAATATTTATTAATAGTTAATGAATATTTGTTAACTGTTGAAAAATATTTATTTAATATAAAACGCAAAAATAGCAATTTTCTTTTGACACTTTTTATAACCTTATAGCTGGAATACATAATATTAATTTAATTTACTAAATAAATTAACGTTTTTAATACATAAAAATATAAAAGATAATTATGAGCTGTAATAGAATTTGGTATTTTATAATAAACGTTATTATAACATAATATAATTAATGCAAATAATTTATAAAGATGATTTTTATTTATAATCAATATTTATATCATATGAAATTGCAGGCGGAACAAAGTCTATAAAGTCTTTATAAAGTCTTTATTAATTGTTAATAAATATTCGTTAAATATAAATAAATATTTATTAACCTTTGATAAATCTAATTTCCTCCCAAATAAATATTTATTTAATGTTGAAAAATATTTATTAAAATTTAATAAATTAAATAATTGTTTTCAAATAAATTAAATTATTAATAGTTAATAAATCCTTTTATCAGTGCATAACCTATTTAATCAATTAAACTAAATTTGTTACAACTCCAATATTAGCATAAGAGATATAACAATAATGCATAGACTGTTCTGCTAGAGCATCGTGAATGTCGCCAGTCACTATGGGGCTGACGCCCATAGTGACATTGGCGCATCGGCTATAACTATTGTCGATGTTACTAGTCCCACCATAGCCAAATCATTTATGCTGACGATTTTTTATCCAATGAAAAATCTTCTAAACCATACAGTATGGTGCTCACACCCATAGTGACATAGTGATATCCGCAATGTATTTCTTTCCGTGTAATAATCTCAGTACTTACACAAATTACTTCTCAGCAACTGAAAATATAAAATCCTTAAGTTTGCAACTAAAAGTACCGATTTCCAATTTAATATTGATACATTCCTATTGAAAACTCCGATTTTCAGCAAACTTTCCAACTAATTATTTATAATGAATATTTTAAATGTCCGAGGGAACTTTTCCTCCGGCTATTTATGCTCTCGTATCAAAAGTTTGCTTTTTAACGATTTTCCATATTAAATTACCGCCATTATTATTTATATATTCGAAATTCCTTCTATTTCTAAACTTCGCGGTTTTTTGCTGGCAATTGAATTTTCAATAAAAAAAAAAAATAAATGTTTAATCGGTGGAATGAAAGTTTGGCAATTATGGTTGGTTGATAGCCATGGTTATTGCACAACATCAATTAACACAGTATAAAAACAATAATTTCGGTATGCATAATTATTTTACGCAAAGTATCATATATCGGCAATTATTATTTATTTAATAAAGCAATTTTATTGTTATTAACAAATTAATGATTCTATTATAATATTTTTAGATTAATTATTACTTATAAAATTAATTAATTAATAAAATTGATTAAAAAACAATTAAAAAATTTTTTTTTAACAATTTGATATTTTATTTACAAAAAATGAATAATTTTTTAACTTGATTAAAAAAAAATGAAATTCTTAAAAACAAATTTGTTTTTCCAAGAATTTTTTTTTAAATCAAATTAATTTTTCTAATTACTAAAAAATCTGAAATAAAAAATTCCAAAACTTCTTAATGATTCCAGAACTTCTAACCTTCCGACGTCACAATTCTTCACGTAACAAAAAAAAATGCAATTAAGCACATTCCGACATTGAAACTGCTTAATACCGGCACAATAGTGATTGTCTGAAGAGAGTTTGATATAAAAAAATAGCGTGACAACTCGGATCTGAATCTCGCGGGGTTTCTTAATCAAAACCTTCAAATCTGATTAAACTCTCAGCAATCACGCTATCTCTAGTATAAAAGGAAAGAATTTTGCGCCCTGGACAAGTGAATAATGATAATAATAATAAATATTATTATTGATAACTTTTTTTATTAATTTATATATTATAAAAAAAGAATCACTTAATCAAAAAAAAATAAATCTAGTGAAAAGTAATTAATTAAATACCACAGTTGTGTAAAAAAAAATTACTCCAATATTATTGGCATCATTCCTATAATATTATGGAAACTATTCCTATAATATTATGGAAACTATTCCTATACATTATGGGAACCATTCCTATATATTATGGGAATCATGCCGATATTACAGTTATAATTATAGGTATCGTTCCTATAATTATAGGAACCATTCCCATAATTATTGCACTTTTTTTGCACTACTATTTGAAAATCTTGATAAAAAGTCAATTTAATTCTCAACATTCCAAATAAGAATCAATAATTATGTTATCAATATAAGACCGTTGATGAAAATGAATCTGATCAATGGCAGTTAATACTTATTTTGTGTTCATTCTTAAAAAGTATAAAATTTTTTGTTTATTTTTTGGGAGAATATTTCAACACAAAATTTTGTGTTAAAAATTTAACAAGCTATTTGTTTATTTATCTATCATAATAAAGGCAAATATTTTATAATACAGGCAGAAATTGATATTGTTTTATCAAAAAATTAATTAATTCTTGCGCCAAGAAATCGTTTTCTGCATTTAATAATTTTTCTTTCTCTAAGTGTAAAGACTAATCTGGTTACACTTGAGATAATTATTTGTATTTACACTATAAGAATACATTCGTACATTCAGCATTGAATTTATATCAATTTAACTATTATAAGCTTTAAAAATTTGTTAATTCCACTGCTGACAATTTATACTGTTATTTCAGCGTTGTTTTGCCGTCAGTATTGGAAACAATTAATTATTCATAAACATAATTAATTTAAACTTACAACGTCGAAATAAGCGTAAATTATACTAGCATTTAATAAATTTGATGTTCTATGTAATTTAAGTTTTTTATGTTTCAACTCTAAGTTTGGTACGGGTATCTACTATGAGAAAAGAAAAGAAAGAAAATTAAGAAACTTTACCCGGGATTGAAAGCATAAATAAGATATGTGTTGTGAAGAAAATTAAGCTTTGAATTTGATTAAATTTTGAGAACACTTTTATTCAGTAATTACGGAGCCTTCATAGAAGATAATGTTTAAATTTTGTATACATTTTTATTTGTCTTTGAGTCTATGGATAAAACAGTAGATGTAAAAAAATTTATAAAAATATTTCTTAAAACTTAGCCAATTAATTTACTAATTTTAATGAAGATGATGATGTTTTACTAAATTAAGAGACAAGGGAAATGTGAGCGATCAACGAAAAACGCTACTGCGATCAAAGTGTAGAAAAGAATAAAATCTTTGATCTTACGTACAGGATCGCCTCAAGCATTTACTATCCTCAAGCTCAAAGAGACATAATTAAGTATTCTCATCAAGAAATCAATTGACTGAGTAGTGAGCGCTTTGAAGTAGTATAAGTAATTATAAGTCTTGTTATTATTGAAATCTTTCATCGCATTTTCTTTCAGTCACAATAGCTAATTTGAAATCTGAATAAAAATTTTATCGGAGAGCATAAAGTTGCTTTAATTTTTAACTGATTGAATATAAAGCATGAAAAGTGACAAGTTATAGTTATCATGTTAAGGAAATTCTTTGGTTTAGAAATCTTAAAAAAAATCGATTTTTCTTTGCATATTTATAAAATTCAAACTTAAAAGAGTGTTTTTTCAAGGATTTCTCAAAACACATCGTTAAACATGCTCTTCTCAAAATTACTTTTTTTCAAAACGGTGGGCATATTACCTCAGGTTCTACTAAATCAACTTACATGAAATCATTATACATTCCTTTATCGCCTAAACTAGATAAGTAAAAAAATGTCAATTTCAATTACTTTTAAAAAATTCAGTAATGTCATAAAAAAAGTAAAAAATACCTTTTTCTAAAACTTATGACATTTTGCGAAAAAATTTTTTTTGACTTTACCCCTAGTCTAGTCAAGAAGTGAGTTTTCTGCAAAAAATTGTTAGACCACTCTTAAAAATATGGCGATTGGTACATTGGATTCAGAATGTAATTCTGAGAAAAGATCATTTTTTAATTTATCCGCCATTAAAAATTTCATTTGTTATAGACAAAAAGAGAGTCTCCGTTTTGTAGCTATAATTTCAAAAATATTGAAGATATTTGAAATTTGGAAAAAGATTCTAAAAGAGGAGAAAATTTTAGTACAATAAGTCGCGATTCCCGGAGTTGTAGTTCCATTATTTTTAATTAAGTTTAATTTAACATTGAAAGACATGCGCAGTAAACTTTTTGAGAAGATTATCATTATCCCGACTAGAAACTTCAGTGAGGCAGTGATTCGGCGCAAGTTAGGCATGCCGAATTCCAAACTTGCGCCAAGTGAGGCATCCAAACCAGACTGAAGTTTGGGACGTAACGCGATTGCAAATTTGGGCCTAACTTGGCTTCCGACTTAGGCAGTGGTTTGGAAACCATACTTGCTGGTGACTTTCTAAACCTTATTCGGTCTGAATTTAGGCAGCAATTTGGAAACCAAATTCGCAAAGAAGAATCTAAATTTAATTATTTCTTCGTTTTTATCTTTTTTATTATAAAGCGAAAATTAATAATAACAAATGCTTATTTTTTTATCTACTTTTACTATTTTAAGTATAAATATTGAAATTAGGACTAAATTTTTCAAATAAAGGAATAAAAAAAAAATTTATTTTTTTTCTTTTATTTAATATTATTTTTCATTATTTTTTCGGTAACTATTTTCTTTGTTTTTAGCGCTTTTTTTAATGCGAAGAAGTTTTTTTTGATTGGGGGATTTTATAAGTCAAGGAGGAAGGAGTTGATGGAGGAGTTAGATACATTAGTCACACACAACACTTAAATTTACTTCACACTCACCTTAAAAGTAATTATAATTAATAATTATCAATTATTTAAAATATGTCGAACGCGAGACTCGAACCTGTACCCGACGCACGAGAGCCCTGTACCATACCGCGACGCTACGCCGATGATGAGCGACCTCTTGCCTCAAGACACTTATAAGCAAGACCAATGTTCGACTTGCCTAATTTAAAACGAATAAGATTCGAATTGGGCTAGCCTAAGTTCGGAAAGCCAAGTTCGCTCCAAACTGATTTTTCGACATGCCTTACTAATGAACTAAAAGGCTTGACCTTAGAAAGATTTGAAGCCAAATATCTTCCCCCACTCCGTTTTAGAGTACTTTGGCAAGAAACGCCGAAGTCCGGCAAACGTTTGGAATGCCTAACTTGCAGGAAATTATAAAATCCAAAGGCTTACAAAAGTTCGGTTTACCAAACTTAAAGGTGACTAGGGACATTTATGGCAAGCCAAACTTCGGCAAATCTTTGGTTATCGTTACTTCCAACTAGTCAGGCATTCCAAAGGTTCGCCGAAGTTCGGCTTGCCATAGATGTCCCAAATTACACACAAATTTGGCGATCTTCGTTTTGTCTAACGTAGATTTAAGAAGGCGTAAATTAGGCTTGCCTAAGTTAGGCAAGCCAAACTTGCCCCTCACTAATTCTTCGGCATTCCTAGATAACACGAAGTTCGGCAAATGTTTGGTTAACGTTACTTCCAACTAGTCGGGCATTCCAAAAGTTCGCCGAAGTTCGGCTTGCCATAGATGTCCCAAATTACACGCAAATTTGGCATGGCGATCTTCGTTTTGCCTAACGTGGATTTAAGAAGGCGTAAATTAGGCTTGCCTAAGTTAGGCAAGCCAAACTTGCCCCTCACTAATTCTTCGGCATTCCTCACTACAATTTCTAGTCGGGATATCACTTTAAAATCATTTAAAATAAAAATACGTTGTTTCCCGAAAAAAATTTTTTTTTTACGCCTTTATGGCCCCCAGTGGGTATCCCGGGTGCCATAAGGGCATACCAAAAAATTTCAAATTTGAAAAAAATTTTTTTTCGTCATTTCTACGCGTTTCAAGTAAAAATACGTTGATTCCCGAAAAAAAAATTTTTTGGTACGCCCTTATGGCTCCCGGTAGGTACCCTGGGTGCCATAAGGGCGTACCAAAATTTTTTTTTGCATTTCTGTCCGTTTTTTTTATACCTATTGTCGTTGTCAGAAAATCGCCACTTTGTGGCTATATGACATAAATTACTATTTCTTTCTTTTTACTGCACTTGACGAAACATATAAAATTTTGTGCCTCGAGAATAAAATATCCCTCTAACACTCAAATTTTTAATTGATCTCGATTGAAGTTAATGAAGTAAATGAATCTTAATTGGTTTTTCTAAACAAATATTTTCTTAAAAACTCATCAATATTATCTTACCCCTGCCGTTTCGCCGCCACCACCGCTGTCCGTCTCGTCTATATATTCTGCTGGCGCCAACGTAAAATAATGTTCAGCCGCCGCGAATTTCAAACACGAACATTACCTGAAACAAAAATACAGTTTGTCATTAATTATTGATGACTACTTTAAATAAATCATAATTCTCATTATTAATTCTTGTTGACTAAAGTTTTTTGATCCTATTAAATATTATTTTCATAATTTTACCATTATATTTTTAATAATGTTATCAAAGTTTTCATTGAAAATAATGTTTCTTACACTTGATATGAAATGCAAACTACCGACAAGTTATACCTCCAACTATTAATTTTCATACATTAGCATGTAAATAATAATTTATCAATGGAATATTGTATGCCGACATAGTCAATATAATTAGAATGAATTTCTAATTAAAATTCAATTTACCTACAATATTTAGTTTAATTGCGTATAGTTTACTTAGAGATTATATGGCATGTAATTGAATTGAGTAAACATTAAATACTCTATCGTTATAAAGTTTTTTAATTAAAATTAATCTTTCTCTCATAAGTATTTGATGTTCATTGTTAAACTCTTTATCTGAAACTTGCGGATTCACTTATATAACGATTTTCGGAAATGCAGAAGTCGTCAATTAAATTAAGTCAGAAAAAGCTTTATTTCTATATCAACTGAATGTTCGACTGAGATGTTCATTTCAATTGAGACAGACTTCAACAATTGAACAACTCATGAATGTCAGACGTTCATTAAATACAACAAAACTTTTTATCGGATCTTAATGGTTCTCATAAAATAACCATAAATGCAATCACTTTTTTGTATCTTTAAGCTCTTTTTTTCGAATATAAACGAATAGTGCATCTCTGATTTAAATAACTGCAATAAAAAAGAAAAGCTATTAAAATGCTCAAAAGCACTCGAGGAAACGTTAAATAGTTTTTACAACAAAACGGGCCGTTCAATACACCGATACCAGATTAAATTGTTACAATAGCTATTTTCGGTTTCGGTGAATAGCATCGCTCTCATAACTATTTAGATTGCATCGAAGATTATAAATACCTATACTTTATACTTGATAAAATTTCTTTAATTTAAGATCCGCGTGGAATTTAACAAGTGCAACATCTACGAGTGAAAAAACAAACCACATGCAATTAAGTCTCGAACCTATAACCTCTGAATTCAATAATTTATCATATCGTGTTACAAATGTCATAAGGGCGTACCAAAAAATTTTTTTCGGGAATCGACGTAGTTATGCCTAAAACGGGCAGAAATGCAAAAAAAAATTTTGGTACGCCCTTATGGCCCCCAGTGGGTACCCCCGGTGCCATAAGGGCGTACCAAAAAATTTCAAATTTGAAGAAAATTTTTTTTCGTCATTTCTACGCGTTCCAAGTAAAAATACGTTGTTTCCCGAAAAAAAATTTTTTGGTACGCCCTTATGGCACCCGGTAGGTACCCTGGGTGCCATAAGGGCGTACCAAAATTTTTTTTTGCATTTCTGCCCGTTTTAGGCATAATTACGTTGATTTCCGGAAAAAAATTTTTTATACGCCCTTATGGCTTTTCAAGGTCATTATTTTCGCGATACGCCCTTATGGCATCAGTAACGCGATATTTTGTGAGAAAATTTTTTGATATGGCCATAATAGGGACATATTAAGGCATAACAGAAAAATGTTTAACAGATCGTAATAAAAATATTAGTTTTCTTTTTGAAATGTAAAAACTGTTGCTCAAATGATATTATCCACAGCATAAAAGTTGGATATGATGTCACGGATTTTTTAAACTGATCAATTATTTTCGACACTATTCAAATATTTATGTTTTTCAGTTTATAAATATATATTACACGCTTCAACTATTATTTCCACTGAGAGTTATGATTAATAGAGGATATTGAACGGAGTCTATATGCGTGAAAAAAAGTATCACCAACAAATAGAGTCCGTAATCCAAAACACAGCATTTGATATTGACAATACAACAATATATAAATGTATGTATTTGTATGAATATATCGATTGCTGTGCGTGTATTTGTCGCTATGCATACCTACATGATCAATTACTGAGGACATTTAGGAACATTTGAAGGTGTGTGGGTGTGACATCGACCAATTAGTTGGGTCTCTTGCAACATCGCTCAATTTTTTCGAGTATCTGTTTTCTATTTTCTGTTTGTATTCTTTTTCATTATTCACTGATACTCTTTATTTATATTTATTTTCTTTTCTAAATTCTCTAACGTCTCTGTACCTTAAATGTTCGAAGTTACGAGGCCGATAATTCTAAGAATTAGAATTTACGGCAACCTCTTCCGTCAGACCATCCATCTAATAAAAGGAAGGAAACATTCGTCCTTTCTTGCTTAAAGTATTGCTGAGGAGCAGGAGAGGCAACTTCCTTTCTAAAGTAGAGAAAGTCGAATTTAAGTGGTTTTAATTCATAGAATACAGGAGTCAACTGTAAACAACTTTTATTTTAAAAATTACGAAATTCTAAACTATTTTAAATTTTCTTGCTGGAATTTCAAAGGTATAGTTTCGCATACTTTCAGTTCATATTGGGCGTGCTCGACTGCTATTTAGAAACTTCTCACTCATCCGCTTACGGTTAATAATAACTACTGATCCTTTAAGTATACTTATATGATATGATGAGTTGAGTAAATGATGTTAAATAGAAAATCGTGTTAAATAAATTTTATGACATTTTAAGGAGCTTATGATTGATGTTCTTTAGAAAAAAATTTGCTTAAAGTATATTGCACACTTCGACACCTCAAATACGACTCAGTAAATTGAGCGCATTAAAAGTCAATTATTTTTTAAATTTATCAAATTAGGTTACTTACTTGTCAATCCGACGGAAAAGTGAAATTTACTAAATTGACTTACAATATTTCATATTTTGAATATTTTATATTTTAATTAATTATTATTTTTAACTTAAATTTTCATGTGAATCAAAAAATTATTTTTTTAGATATAAGAAAAAAATTTCAAGAAGAATTTTTCTAAAAATAAGAGAATAAATTTATTGTTTCAAACATTTGTTATAAAAGATAAGATTTTCCTTCATGCAAACTGATAGTAATAATGAATCTTACAGTATTTTTAACTTCCCGCTAAAAATCTCAGATTTTCAAAAATCGGGAAGTTATTGTTTTCACCCCGTTTTACAAAAATCGAGTTTTCATCAGATCTCGACGTTTGAAGGTCACAGGAAACTTCCCTGACTATTTTTACGATAATGTCCGTACGTCTGTGTGTGTGTGTGTGTGTGTGTGTGTGTGTGTGTGTGTGTGTGTGTGTGTGTGTGTGTGTGCGTGTGTATGTGAACCTCTCATAACTTTTAAACGGCTTGACCGATTTTATCGGGGTTGGTGCCATTCGAAAGGGCTTGACCAAACTTAGATTTCCAATACACTTTGGACCGATTCGGACCGGTAGATTTTGAGAAATCGCAAAAAAACTACAAAAAAAATTTTTTTCAAAAGTGGTTTTTGAAGTTATACTTCTTTAGGCACGTTATGAAAAATTGATGAGAGTAAAATTTTACGATGCGCGCGCACCGTGACACAAAATTAACAGAATGAAGTTGGCCACAGAATAGAATTAAAAGTATATATTTTTTTAAATGACTAAGTTAACTCATATACAGGTTAGTTGCAAAGTATCCAACAAAACGTTGTTATTTTCAAATTCGATAGAAATACCATTTAATATGAAATATATTATTCATATTAATAATCAATTCTAAAAAATGGTCAATTAAATATTTTAGTTTTTATTTAACTTGATAATAATTTTCTTTTAATCAATATTTTTCCAAAAATAATAGTAATTTTATGAATTAAAATATTTAAACTAAAATATAAAATAATAAAACCTATTTGATTGTTTTTAACATTTTTCTTTGATCATTTTTGTATTTTTTTTTCTTTAAATTTTTTTTTATTATATGCCAAAGAAGTATAACTTCTGACGCGTGTACATAAGTACACACACCATTTTTTTTTGGAATAACTTTTAAACGGCTTTACCGATCAATTTCAAAAACTACTCAGCTCTTAACATCAAAAAACCACGTTGATCGCCGCCAGTCCGGTCAAAATTGGTTAATTCGTTCGTGAGTTATCGTTGACGAAAGAAAACCGAAAAAAGCGTTTTTTCGGAATTACTCCGAATTTTTCCACTCTGTCAATATAAACTCAAAGATTTTTTATAAAGCTTAAAAAACTGTGTCGAATGCCACCAGCCGCGTGAAAATCGGTTCATTCATTCAAAAGTTATTGCGATTTGAAAATTAAAAAAATAGTGTTTTATGAAACTTCTATTAAACTTTTGAGCTCGAAGAGCTCAAAAGCATACAAAAGCCATTTTTTTGAGCTCGGAGAGCTCAAAATAATAAACAAATTGTATTTATGAGCTCGAAGAGCTCTAAAACGTTATAAGTGCATTTCAAGCGTTTAGGTATAGAATTGGCGGGAAGTTGCAGGGATGGCCTTCAGGGTCAACCGTATTCTTAATTTTTTATCTTATTTTATATTTTGTCGATCTTAGTTGAGCAAATTTTAACATCAGTAAATAGTTCCAGTAAGCCGAGGAGTATTGATTGAATATTTAACTACCATTCAATACTTTTTCCGTGATAAATCTTCAAACATTTAATACATCTATTTGATGTAAAAGATTTGTAAATCTTATTCTCAACTACTTTTAACAATATTAATAAAAAACTTGAGAATTAATCCTAAGGTCATCTCAGTAAAGTTCTAATCTTTTTCTAAATCAACATAACTGGAATAGCGAATTGGATTTAATTAACCAATTTTTTTGCTACAATATTTGCGAGAAAATAGTTGCCGGAAGAATAATTAACTTAAGAATAGTATACATGTTACTTGTTGAAATATATTTTTACTTCATTTGAATTTTAATTGGTCTTCTGTTGAAATTTCTAACTACTAAATTCAATTTTTTAATCTTCTCGAATCAAAAAAT